CAGTGGTCACGTCTTACCAAGTCAACGGTTGACACGATGCGGAACGTATGTGACACTGTGCCAGGATATATTGGCGATAAAGAGAACTGGGAATTATAATAATTTTATTTATTATGTAAAGATGTTGTTTCACCAGCTAGCACATTTAGGCAGAAGCACTATGTATTAAACTGGGTTTGGCATAGCTTTGACTTGGGTTATTTGATATCAAATGTCAAGCGCGGCACCACTGATTGTCACGTCACACCACAATGGTGTTATTCATCAGGAAGTAAAGCGTGTTTTGTTAGTAACAAACGCACTATGTTTAGATATGTGTTCACGGGAAAATGTGCTTACTCAGCTTATATATTTTTTCACACACATGGACACGAGCCAGATCATGTGTTTATTGTGGCTTAAGAGGATACATGAAATGTCAAATGAAGTTATTTTAACTAACATGTCAGCGGGTTACATTCTTCAACTATATTCTCGCACTGAACAATCGTCTCTCTCCCTAGTGCCCACACAGATAACGTTATTCCGCCTCTACCGTGTTGACTTTGCGAGGAATGAATACAGTACTGTAAATTAATATGGAATGATGAACCCGATCGTCCTATTATCCACGCACACACACACACACACACGAACTGATCGCTATAAGAACAGCCCAGTCCCAACCATTGTAAAAATTATCAATAACTTGTAATCAACCAATGTATTCACTCCCAGTAAATACTACTTCTTGCACTGTCACTATGTTGAAATGCCCTGTAGTTTGAGCCTCTCCCCCACCTAGTTATTATATATCATATTTGTATCACTTATGTTACTTGTATATTATTTGTCACTCAGAAGACCCATTCCCCAATTATGTAACTGTATATTTTCAGTCTTCCGGCTGCCATGCTCTTTCAATAAACCGTTAATTATTATCATTTTTTATTACAAGTGATTCTAACCGATTTTTCAGAAAAAAATTAATTTTTTTACTCAAGAAATTTTTAGAATAATTTTCCGGTAAATCAACGAACTATACTGATGCAGAAGGATATATGAGTGTGGCAGGCCGTGATGTGGCAGGGAGGGCTGGCACTATTGATGCAGTGAAGCCTTGTGTTGCCTCACAGTGGGCTGCTCCACCTTACCTATGACTGATAAACTCTTCAAAACTTGTTCACACAATAATCTTACACCACTAGACGGGTTCACGAGATTTCTAAAAGTAATTTTAGATTAAGTTCAAATATTTAGCCTGAAGCTTTAAAAAATTATAAGGAAAGATCAATTAGAAAATTAATAATGATCTTAATACAAATCTTATTTTAGACTTAACTTCAGAAACAACAGCAAACTTAAAGAGGGAAAGGAAAAGCTTTTAATGCGAGTTAAAGCGATAACATCTGAGACGCTCTGATATACAGTTGTTATTTGCACATTTATCCCTACAACTGGGATGAAAGCTCACACACAACATGGTGATGAAAACGTCATAACAACATGTTGGGATTAAGATGAACGCAGCTTATACTACCACTCCTTGTATGTCGGGAGAGCAAGTGTGCTTCACTTTACCTAAATGCAACAACAACTAGGTTGTTAGAGGTCTTCACCATTTTGAATTAAACTAAACATCTAGACATTGTATACTCATGACAGTGGGAATCAGTGAGGAGCCTGTGGACACTCTGGAAGCATACTATTCTCAACGTTAAAACACACTACCAGAGAGCTATTTTAAGGAGTGACGTGTTAACGAAGATGTCACAACCTGGGGTGTTACTCACCCTGTCAGCCCACCAGTGCTATATCTTCCACCAGGGGTCAACTAGCCCCGGGTCACCCAGGGGACGAGGGTTAAGGAGAGGCTGAGAGAAACAGACTGTACAGGAGTCGTAGATGGAGCTGGGACTTGTGAGATGTGTTGGGGACACCATGAGAGGAAATTATTGAAACAACATTTCTCTCTCATTGATGGCGACATGATGACGTTGTGATATAGATGGTAATGATGAGAATTAAGTATGGAAATGATGATAGTGGAAAGTGTGTGGATGATGAATATTCCCACCTCCTCCCCCTGACCTTATAACAAAACATACACTTTAAAATCATGAACTTTGATCTAAAAGATCTAAGATATGCAATTGCACAGATACCTGATAGTTGTGTATGAACCTCTGTCCTGCGTGGCAGTGATCAGTGATGGCACCCTTAGTGTCAAGACCTGACCGAACTACTAAGATTGGGCAAAACTGTACATAAGAACATAAGAATGGAGGAAAATGCAGCGGGCCTATTGGCCCAACTCCTATCGTTCATATATCCATCCAACCTATGTTTGAAGCTATCCAGCGTATTCGAGTTAATGATGATGTTTGGTAACTTGTTCCATTCATCCACTACACTATTTCCAAACCAATGTTTACCTATCTTGTGCCTACATCTAAATTTGTCTAATTTAAAACCATTGCTTCGAGTTCGCTCCTGGTTGGATAGTTTGAGTACCTTTGTTATATTACCTTTGTTTAGCCCTGACTTCCATTTATACACCTCGATCATATCGCCCCTCACTTTATGTCTCTCGAGGGAGTGCAAATTAAGATGCTTTAACCTGTCTCTGTACTCAAGGTTCCTAATGCCTGGGATTAATCTTGTCATTCTCCTCTGAATTCTTTCTAGGGATTCTATATCCATTCTGTAGTACGGTGACTATAACTAAACCGCGTAATCCAAGTGAGGTCTCACAAGCGCAAGATATAGTTTTAGGATGACCTCGCTTTGTATGAACCCAAGTACTTTGTTAGCCTTGTTTCGAGCAAATACACATTGTCAGTAAAGTTGTTTAACTAATTACCTCCTCTATCCCCTCTTTTATGCTACTGCCCTTAACACCTCTCTATCCTTCCCCTCCCTCTCTATGACTGCCTCTTCTACAGCCCTCTCTGTCTCCCTACATAGGTTGAGGTCGGACCCACGCTTCGCATTCTCACAGTAACGTCACTGTGTATTTGTTATCTGGGCGGACGTGGCTGCTCAGGTTTACTGACGACACACTGATATTAAGTCTCTTTCGTCAGTGTCGTTGTGGTCAAGTAAAGAAGAGGTAAAGAAAGAGAGGCAAGATAATTTTTTTACTGATGTAACTAGGTATTACTGAGTTGTTTTATTCACCTCCCAAAATAACAGTGATGTAGGGAGGCGCGGGAGAGGAGGGAGGGAGGGAGGCAGGGATGGAGAGAAGGTCAGTTATCCATGACCTAACAGTTGAGGTCATGACGAAGCACTCCCTTTATCAGCTTCTTGCAACTCCAACCTATACATATTTCATCTCGAAATAGGCGTCCTGTTTATACTTACATTACCTCCATGTACAGTGTACTCGTCACTCCATATGCACGTCATTTAGATAAACAAGAGGTGTACGTACACACACACACACACACACACACACTTCATTAACTATATTACAACTATATTACCCAACACCTGTACACACACAGAGCAGATTACAGGCATGTGTATGTCGTGAACGAACGCATAGTGTTCCTTCAAAGTGGACACAAAATGAAATATATAGTGAATGTATATTGGCACTGGTAATGTATATTCTTGTGTGCATCCGTGTGCGCGTTTACATGGGTTCGTGCGCGTGTGAGAAGGCGCATGTGCTTGTACGGACCTATATCAGTAAGCATGCATAGAAATATCTGAGAACCCGTGTAGAGGAGATGATGTCACTCAATGAGGCATGACGGCACGATGACCCCCACACACGCTCGCCGCCTGCCTGTCCCACACTCACGACTCGTGATTTGTAGAGGAGAAAGTGGAGGCTATTTTGTGTGTGTGTGTGTGTGTGTGTGTGTGTGTGTGTGTGTGTGTGTGTGTGTGTGAGAGAGAGAGATAGAGAGAGACGGATGTTATAGTAATCATCTTCCTCGAAGTTGTCCTAAACCTAAACTAACATAATTTTCTCTTGAGCATTTCTGATTCGTCAACATGCATACAGCCTCTAAACTTGCCAATTTCTCCTAATTGTTCCTAAAGCATTACTCATATGTATCGTTTATTTTATTTACGGAATATTACTGAATTTATGATCGTAAAGGTGACTGAGGTCAGTGCGTTCTCCACCAGCTGTTGCACTCAATTGACGCTCCCACCCTCCCTCTCCCGACACTGTACATTAGTGTATTTTGCACTCAAACAAATATAAACAAGTTTCCCCCGAGAAGTGTTTCTGGAGTGATATGACACGAGAAAATCACTCATTCTGCTTTTTTCTTATTTCCAAAATAAAATTGCACCCTTACGAAAAAGAAAAAAAGAAAAACAAAACACCAACAGCGTCTGGTGTTATCACAAATTATGTCCCTGGTATACAGGTAATAACTCTTATGATGAGGTCCTGATATCCAGCAGGGCACTATTAGCATCTTGTGCCGGTGGTCCAGGGGTGGACTGAGGACCAACGATAGTTCCTAGGCTATATGACCAATGGGCAATGTACCTTATTTCAGCTGGGCTAGATGCAGTCAGTCTCCAGGTATTTTACTTTTCTAAGTATAGTGTGGTAACAGAAACGAACAGGAATCATAAAGAATCAACCTATTCACAAACAATTGTTGCTATTTTCATGAAAATTTATGTTGCTGGGAGATGCTCAACTCTTTAAAAACATTAAATTGAAAATGTAATGTTGCTATGAGGATAACGCCATCGTATCGCGGTTGTACAGTTTCCAATACATACCAATTAGTATCAATGGTATAGATCCAATAGTTCTTATTAGATATAAATACCAAAGATAATTGCGTACCTCTTTCTGATACCTTTAAAAGACTTACAAGCCATTTAGTTCATTAGTCAAATACTCGCACTAGGATGTAAACTTACCTTTGATGGTTTATCTTCAAATTCAGGAACAAAAAGTAATATAAAGTCAAATAATAGACTATTATTAATGGTGTTATAGTAAGTATGACCAGCCAACAGCAGCACTTGACACTTACCAGAGAGGCGGCGGACCCCAGCCTCAGACAGACGCCGCTGGTGCTTGTGGATGTCGTCGATGACGCCGCTCGTGTCTACAGGCACACCAACATGCTCAACACTACATTGTTATTATAAGACGAGGATTATTTGGTTCATTCACAGGGTTTTCAACATGCCAGTGAAAATGCGGACTATATAATGTGGTGAAGGGAAACAGCAATTTGACATACACTGCAAGTTACACACGACAAAAAACAAACATAAAGACTGCATTCTGACAAATACTTTTTAAGCACATCATCACAACATAACAATTTAAACTACAAGACTAGAAACTCTAAATCTGAATCTCAAGTTTAACTAATGACGTGCAACAAATCAAAGTTAAAGTCTAAACATAAGAGACAAGTATCGTCTTTTAAGACAAGAAAATAACTTACCGAAGGACTTCTTGCGAACATCCTCACTGAAGCGTCGCCTGGCCACCACCTCATCCTCGTGAAGTGTAGCTGGTAGGGGGAGGGGGCACACACACCACAGTTAACACAATATAATAAACTAAACGATATTGTAAAGAAAAAGTTAAACTTTAATGGCTAGTGCAGGTAAATAAAACGATGTAAAGTAACAACAAGAAATCAGGAGTGTATTTAACTTCATAAGTATGTAAGAATGATAAGGTGATGATATGTTTAATTAAAACTGGTAATAGTGGAGGAATTTATAGAAAGGGTAAATTTTTCCGGAGCTGTTTGGATGATAGCAAGTAATAAAAATGAAACTACAACTTTACTCTTTAATATTAAGTATTTTTTGTGAAAGAAGAGCAAAATTACAGTGTAAAACACTGCGAAAACTGATTAAATGGCAGTAATTTAACGTCTCTTGTGCGCAAATAATTATTTATAGTAAATATGGCGGCGTCAATTCTCCAGTAGCCACCATGTTGCGGTCTGATCTTAAGATATAAGGAAGGGAATCCCGGTACTGTATCTGTCAATATGTAAAGGAAACGAAGGGGGGAATTTCATCGGGAGTTTTTAATACCGTATTTATTGACTTGCTTGTCTTTATTTCTTATTTTATAGGACTCAGTTTCCACTTTTCCGACTCTATGTCTGCGCAAATCCTTTATATTTTATCATTACTACGCAATAGGTTCCAAAACTCCTTTTAGGGATACAGAATGAGAATCATATCGTGGACATTGAATCCCATATTAGAGGTTTAGGTACCTCATATTTCAATTTGGAGTTTCATTGGAAGCGAAGTCAACTGTATGTTCGTATTCTTATTGATCTTCCTCAAGGAGACGTTTAGTTTCATGGCATCGTGTACTGGATATTTTTTCTATTAATTTTCGGAAGCTATATGTGCTTGTTGAGGATCAAGACCGTGTTAAGGCCTGGTTAGCATCTTAATATGGCTAAACGACTTAATATTTTTACTTTTATCCTCTTCGTCATTGATCGGCTGGTTAGCCGCTTGGACGATCGTTTACGTCTCTGTTACACACTGTTGGCAAGTACTAAGCATGTACTGGCTCCAGAGTATATTTGTACCTGCGTCAGTGTTGGTGAAGTTTAGTCTTGAATGAGCTCACACTAGGTGTTGTCACACCACAACACTGGCAGGGGGTTCCCAGAGGGCGGATCCCCCCACGGTTAGCAAGTTTGGTTCGGTTCTTATTTAGTAACATGCAAATAACAGCTCTGGAAATTTTAGTGCAATTACATAAAGTTCCTTGTGGTGAAAACTGTTGTAGTGGACGTCTCCTCTACAAACTGCGTAGCTGCACACCACCTGCTACCGTCTTCCCTAGCAACCAAGCTTATCCCCATTCCAATGCCCGCCGTATCTTAGCAACGGAACTAGTCACCGGCTACTTCTCGGGTTTTCCCAACATGACTCATAGAGGACTGGCGGCCGCTACTGGGTGTATATAAGCTCTGTCTCTCCATTGAGATTCATTCTGCCCATTTTCCTGAACAAGCAACATCTCCAGCAAGCTCCTAGCTGTCCAGCATTCATTCAATCAGGAGGCCAGCAACAGGCAACATCTCCTCCAGGAAGCTCCTTGCTGTCCAGCATTCATTCAATCAGGAGGCCAGCAACAGGCAACATCTTCTCTAACGAAGCTCCTGCACATCTACCTCCTTCAACACGCTACTCACCGAACGTCTCTATTGACCAGCTCCTCACCACACGGCACCTCCAGCACCAGACTGTCTATCATATAACTTATATATTATACAAGAAAACCACATTAGAGTTTCCTTCCATCCTGAGTGCTAGACAACATTAATATCTCGATACCCCTACAATGGTAGAGTGGAGGGGTATCAGCATTGCTGGAAATATTCAGGAAAATGGGCAGAATGAATCTCAATGGAGAGACAGAGCTTATATACACCCAGCAGCGGCCGCCAGTCCTCTATGAGTCATGTTGGGAAAACCCGAGAAGTAGCCGGTGACTAGTTCCGTTGCTAAGATACGGCGGGCATTGGAATGGGATACGTTTGGTTGCTAGGGAAGACGGTAGCAGGTGGTGTGCAGCTACGCAGTTTGTAGAGGAGACGTCCACTACACTGTATCCTCCACTTTTACCTTAAAAATTTATCCTAAACTTAATGTTACACTACGAGTCTGAAGAAGTGTATGTCGTTAAAGTCACGATAAGGACAATGGATGAAGTGTATCTGTGTTTTAAGCATACCCGATAATAGAAACACGTACAATATATATATATATATATATATATATATATATATATATATATATATATATATATATATATATATATATATATATATATATATGCTGATAACCATAAGGTTATCAGCATATACCTGGATCACCTTGCACCTACAGTGATTTACTTGCATATATATATATATATATATATATATATATATATATATATATATATATATATATATATATATATATATATACTGTTTGTGTGTATGTGTGCGCACACGCTTGTTATTGATATTTTATTTATTTATTTAGTTATGCTTCAACACCGACTTACATTTTCTATTTTTTAAACTAAGTTTTTGTTTTCTTTTTAAGACAGCATGAGAGGCTAACTCGTGTAAACTTGCAATATAATAATATATACACATCTGATTTTTTTTAGTTGAAAATGCTTGTAAATTTGTGTAAACGCCAGAATGAAAAGTAATTGCTATATATGAACCAATAGTGTGCATATAGTTTGGGTGTACACTAGCTATAAAACGGTTCACATTGAAAATTTGTATTATTAATACTTTATGTGTTAACTTCGTGTATATATATATATATATATATATATATATATATATATATATATATATATATATATATATATATATATATATATATATATATATATATATATATATATATATATATATATATATATATATATATATATATATTACTGTGTGAATGTTTATACAATAAAAAATAAAAATTAGATCACATCAACTATGTTATTTTATATAGGAAAGTAATTTAATTGCCATCAATAGTTACCAAACACCTAATACTTCACAAGAATGTGGTGTTAATATAATCCAATAAAACTTATAATTTAAAGCCTCTAACAATGGCCAGGTATTGATAATATATAATTACAAACCGTAACTTTATGCAACAGTGATGTGAATATGAATGATAATATTTGAAGAAAATTTGGGGTCTAATATTGGCCTTGATATGACTAACAGGGACTAAATCTGTAAGTCCTGTCATTTCTCATTAATTACAAAATACCCAGTGGGTTATCATCTCATGTTATTGGTTCTGCGATTGATTGAGTGTGTGTGTTGTGTGTGATTCAACCTACCCAGTGGCCGGCGGAAGTTAACATCCTCACTGAAGCGCCTTTGGGAGGGCATCTTGTAGGATGGCAGGTCGGGGAAGGTGAAAGGAAGGAAGGGCTCCTCTGGATCAGCCTTTTTTTCCACCAACACGGACGGGGACAGACCGTTCTCTCGCAGTGGGGACTTGGCTCGTTTGAAAGGGAAGCCGCTGTTGTCACCGTTTACTCCGTTGGTAATGCTATTGTTGTTGATGTTGGCAATGGGGACGATGATGTTGTTGTTGTTGTTGTAAATATTTTTGTGAGTCTTGTTAATCGAGAGAGGTGTGGGTCTGGGTGGTGGCGACTGACTTTTGGGGCTGACGGTGCCGTTTAGGAATGTGGAGTCTGGTGTAGGGGAGGGAACAGGGGAAAAAGAATTAGTCGACGAAATATCTGCCATATAATAACAACAACAAAAACGGGAGAAAACTAATTGCTTATGGATAGAAAAATAAAAGGAGAAAACAATCTTAAGGATATATATATATATATATATATATATATATATATATATATATATATATATATATATATATATATATATATATATATATATATATATATATATATAGTATATTAAAGAGTCTACGGTGTGGTGGTACTGGAAGTAGTGAGAGTACACCCCGCCTTACCTTCCTTTCTGGTGAACTCCTCACTGAGGCGTCGGAGCTTCTCTACCTCGGCGTCCACCCGATCACCGTCTACAGGGTAATAAGGAACAAAGGTGAACAACTACTCAGGCTCATGCACACAAGTGAACCGACCAACTACATCATCATGCATGAAATAAATCTGACAAAGAAAAATGAAAATGGTGATACTTCCTGCGATATATAAAGCGTGCAGTGTGCAGAAGTATAAAGTAAATAATAAGTGAGGGAAGTGACACGTACAAAAAGTGAGTTTGAGAGGGACACGTCCGTCACACCCACCTGTAAACCTACCAGAATGATGCATCAGTTTCTGAAAACTGTAAACCTCTTTATAAATTAACATAAATAAATATAACAACTATTTCCTTATTATAAATTATTTTGAGTTGAAAACAATTGACAGTCGACCATTTCTATTAATTGTAAAGCATGATAATAAGATATCACGAGTAGAGATGAACACTACTACAGCAGGAACCGCAGCAACTTTCCACAACACTGTCGGGCCTGACGTTCCTATGAGAATTTGTGGATGACTGAACTGCTTTTCAATTTTTTCTTCATATTTGTGGCTTTTCATATCAACTTCAAGAGGGAACTGTAAGCTAAAAGATACCGTCGCCATTAGCATAAAATATGACCTAGGTATTGTTACAAATAATTATCAAATTGAGTCTTAAAAATAATATAAATATGAGATAAAACGAAAAAAAAGAGAAAACAAACAATTTTGCACCCATATATGTTGAGGTCTTTCAAAGTAAAATTGGTCTCCAATTTTAAACTTACTTTCTCTGCAGAAAACGTTCTCATCTCCCCCCTCCCCCCTAGGCCCCGTTGTGGGTCACTGTCCTGTGCCTGGGTGGGCTATTCCCCATTATAAAAAAGAGAATTTAAGTTACTGAACGAAAACAAATAATATTTATAATCACCTCTAAGGACATTACTCAGTGAAATATTCATATTAGGAGTTAGCGGAAGACCGACCCACTCGATGTCACAATTTTAAGTTAAAGTAGTTATTAATACAGGAAACTTACAGAACTAACACATTTGGAGTCTACCAATCAATTAATCAAAGTGCCATCCTCGTGTCTGATGGCGATCACGGTCCTCCACTCAAAATGTTTTCATGTTGTCTTTACCAATTCATCCAGATTCTCTCTTCTCTCTGGGGTTTAGAGAATTTTATTTTATTCATCTATCTCATTCTCTTCCTTCCCCTGGCCTTCCTAACTTTAATTATGATCAGTAATATTGTTACCAATATTCCCTCATTATATGGCCAAAATATCTAATTTTCCACATTATATAAAGTTTCCAGTAATTTTCTCATTGTTTTCGCCAATCCTAGGAAGGTTTCCTTTGTTTTCTTATCAGCACATTCTATTTTTAGCATTCGCCTGTAACATCACATTTCAATGGCCTCTAACCTCCTAGTGTCTACTGAAAATTTTCAACGTTTTTTCACTATCCACGATAAAATCTATATTATATCATATGTATAGCGAATATTTGATATTACTTTGCCACTGAATTTGACTTTTTCTTTGCTATTTACAACTTTACTCGTTTTTTTTGTCATAGTCCCACCCTATTTTCCTTCTTTTCTGACTTTACTTATACTTTTACTTTTTTATAATTTCCCTGCAGTTGTGTCTGCTAAGAACAATAGGACCAATTGGCCCATACTAAGCAACTATGTTTACATCCAATCCCTATTATTCATACTCGTATATCTGTGCAACTTTTATTTGAAACCTCCCAGCAGTAGATAGTAGGCAGCTACCAATCAGGGAGGTACTACCTCCTGGGAAGATATTGGAAGCATAATGTGTTGTCTAATGGTAGACCCTGCTGCCATATGGCATCACGAAAATTGTGACCAAGTCCCAGGTTGTTGATCTGACTTTCTGCCTCATTTACACACAATTGCAGGGTCTCAATTGTTTCTCTTACCATTGACAACACAACATACATACAGTTTATTGATTCTCACTCTTGATCATTTTTTTCATTTTTGTATTTCTTTATGGTTCTTTATTATTATTATTATTATTATTATTATTATTATTATTATTATTATTATTATTATTATTAATAGTAGTAGTAGTAGTAGTAGTAGTATTACTAGCAGAATCGCCGCCCTCCGGGCAGCTCATCCGCTAGGTAACGGTAGGACGCCACCCTCCGGGAGGCTCCACATTGTCTCTGTTCAGTCCCCAAAACTTCTTCTTCCACCAATAGTTCATTAACGGTGTATGTAAGTTCCACCATGTTTTTCACTTCAACGGTACAGCAAAGTATATTTTTTTAGCATTAAACTGTTATTATTTTATTGTCTAATCATCACTACATATAACACCACCCATCATCACTACATATAACACCATCCATCATCACTACATATAACACCATCCATCATCACTACATATAACACTATCCATCATCACTACATATAACACCATCCATCATCACTACATATAACACCATCCATCATCACTACATATAACACCACCCATCATCACTACATATAACACCATCCATCATCACTACATATAACACCATCCATCATCACTACATATAACACCATCCATCATCACTTCACATATGTCAATTCATCCATCACTACATATAACACCATCCATCATCACTAAGCATATAACACCACCCATCATCACTACATATAACACTACCCATCATCATTAAGTATATAACACCATCCATCATCACTACATATAACACCTCATCCATCATCACTACATATAACACCATCCATCACATATAACACCATCCATCACTACATATAACACCACCCATCATCACTACATATAACACCATCCATCATCACTACATATAACACCATTCATCATCACTACATATAACACCATCCATCATCACTACATATAACATCATCCATCATCACTACATATAACACCACCCATCATCACTACATATAACACCATCCATCACTACATATAACACCATCACTACATATAACACCATCCATCATCACTACATATAACACCATTCATCATCACTACATATAACTCGATTCATCATCACTACATATAACACCATTCATCATCACTACATATAACACCATCCATCATCACTACATATAACACCATCCATCATCACTACATATAAACACCATCCATCATCACTACATATAACACCACCCATCATCACTACATATAACACCATCCATCATCACTACATATAACACCATCCATCATGACTACATATAAACACCATTCATCATGACTACAATTAACACCATTCATCATGACTACATATAACACCATTCATCATCACTACATATAACACCATTCATCATCACTACATATAACACCATTCATCATCACTACATATAACACCATCCATCATCACTACATATAACACCATCCATCATCACTACAAATCGGTAAAGTAGTTTCCGAGATTCTCGTGCGGACACACAAACAAAAACGCACACACAAACATACAGACATACTTCTTTTATATATATATATATATATATATATATATATATATATATATATATATATATATATATATATATATATATATATACATATATATATATAAATTATTATTATTATTATTATTATTATTATTATTATTATTATTATTATCATTATTATTATATTTTCGCCCCCAGGCCCCGTAAAAAAAAAAGTTTGATAGCTTGTTCAACACATCCACAACTCTATTTTTAAATCAATGGTCATCTAATTCACCCTTAAATCTAAATATACAGTATCTAATTTAAAAACCATTGCTGTGTGGTGTCATAGTTTAAGCACCTTAGTTTTAACACCTTTATTTGGTCCTTCACTCCACGTCACCTCAATATAATACAGATTCAGTTTTCTTATTCTGCCCGGGATTAGCTTTGTTATCCTCTTCTGGATTCCTTCTAGGGAATTGATATCCATTCTGTAGTACCTGTGACCAAAACTGAACAGCATAATCCAAATGTGGTGTTACTTAATCACACGCGACATAGTTTAAGGATAATCGCTTGTCTCACGTCACCTTATATCTCTTTATATTTCATATCTAGAATATATTCTTTCGTCCGTTAACAGTCCTTTTTAATTTATTTGTGGATATCTTTGCCATTCTTCTTTCCTTATAAAAAAAAATCCCTCTCCATTTTGTATAAAATTTCAACTGTGTTCCACTTTCTTTTAGCCTGGATCCTTTTTTGTCCAATAAGTTTTCGCTCACTCTAATATTATTTCTTTGAATGATTCCACTGCTATTCTATTTTTTTTCTTCAAGTCTTTCCCCTGACAGCGCTGAAATTTTTTTGGGGGGTTTCAATTTCATGGTCTATTTCTGTTTCTGCTTCCCTGATTTCCATTTAATTTTATTTAGCCTTTAATGAATTAGCAAATAATCTGTTTGACTCCTGACAATATTGCTTATATCGCCTTGAGGTGGTTTCCATATATAAAGATGGCTTGAGTAATGTTGAAACCATGTATTTACAACTATCGTCTGGTTTCATGTGTATTACC